CCTCCTCCTCCTCCTCCTCCTCCTCCTCCTCCTCCTCCTCCTCCACCTCCTCCCCTCCTCCTCCTCCTCCTCCTCCTCCTCCTCCTCCTCCTCCTCCTCCTCCTCCTCCTCCTCCTCCTCCTCCTCCACCTCCTCCTCCTCCTCCTCCTCCTCCTCTCCTCCTCCTCCTCTCCTCCTCCTCCTCCTCCTCCTCCTCCTCCTCACTCCTCCTCCTCCTCCTCCTCCTCCTCCACCTCCTCCTCCTCCTCCTCCTCCTCCTCCTCCTATTAATTTTCATTCCCCCAACTCCCTCATCCATCCAGCATCCTCCTTCTCCTACTCCCTCCTTTTAGCACGGTTCGACCGCCCCCCTATTTGCTCTCGCACTTCCCTAAATGGGCTGGTGGGGATACGCGAACCGAACCGTCTAGAACTTGTAAACTTTAAAAAAACGGATGCGCGCGACGCGTGGAAGGAACCGCCTGGCACCCGTGAAACTCCTACAAACTTGCACTACGAATGCGTGCGGCGCTACAGAGAAAGCCACACTCTGAAAGAGCACCGCCCTCCACCCGCGAACGCGAGAGTCATGCAAAATTCTTGAGAGGAACGAGCGCGGCGCTCCGGCGAAAACCACGTCTGTTTAGTGTCTGTTCCATGGGAGCCTGCGTGGCCCCCGGCGCTGTCCGATTTGGGCCTGATTTGGACCGGATTTGAACAGATTTGGACCAGATTTGGACCAGACTTGGAGTGGATTCGCGGGGACTAGACGAACGAGGAGGAAAGAGGGGGAACAGAAGGGGAGAGGAGGAGCAGGAGGACGGGCCAAATGCGGTCCCTGCGGGGTCCAAATGCAGGAAAAGCTGATTTCAGTGTCGCCGTCCAAGGCTCCCGTGAACAGACATCGAGCGTCTTGCTCCGCCCGCAAAGCCGCTGCAACCTGCAGGCTTCGCAGAGGCGAGGCGGCGAGCGAGGAAACGCCCTGCCCGCCCCAGCGGCACGTCCTCGGGGTGCAAAACAGAAGGAGGCACCTGCTCACAGGGCAACGGGCTGGAGGAGGAGGGAGGAGGAGTAGTAGTAGGAGGAGGAGGTAACGGGCTGAAGGAGGAAGAGGCGAAAGAGGAGGGGAAAGAGGAGGAGGAGGAGGAGAAAGAGGAGGAGGGGAGAGGAGGAGGAGGAGGAGAAAGAGGAGGAGGAGGAGGAGGAGAAGAGGGAGGAGGAGGAGGAGGAGGAGGAGGAGGAGAGGAGGAGAGGACGACGACGATGACGACGACGACGACGACGACGACGACGACGACGACGACGACGAGGAAAAGGAGTACGATCGGGAGCGAACGTAGAACGAGGCACAGACACAAGGAGGGGGCAGAGCAGAGGAGGAGCAGGGACGAAGACGGGGAGGAAGAAGAGGAGGAAAAGACAGGAGAATGAGGAACAAGTTGGACAAACAGGAGAAAAAGAGGACTCGAGGCGAAAGCGGTAGCCGCGGCCACATGCGGGGAGCCGGGGAGACCGCCAGCTCGACGGCTGGGAAGGGGGGAGGGGGAGGGGCGCGCCTCTTATTCCCGCTCGTGAGCGACTGTTTGCAAGAGTGCGGCCTCTGGGGGAGTCTCCACCCGCTCGAAACAGGCGCCAACAAGCAGCCAGGATCCGCTCCAGGGGGTGGGAGTTAGGGGGTGTTGAAGCCCCGCGCCGATCGGCAAAACAACTCCTCCTCCTCCTCCTCCTCCTCCTCCTCCTCCTCCTCCTCCTCCTCCTCGTCCTCCTCCTCCTCCTCCTCCACCTCCTCCTCCTCCTCCTCCCGATGTCTGACATGTTTCACGTTGTCACATCTGCCAATGGCACATATGCACGCGGGCGCCGTGGCCGCGGCGTTTCGCGCCCTCCGCGTCCGCTCTTGCGGGGCGCACGGCCTCAATCCATGGCTCCTCGACCAAGCCTTGGCTCCACCACTGCTGATCCTCCTCCCTCCTCCTCCTCCTCCTCCCTCCTCCTCCTCCTCCTCCTCCTCCTCCTCCTCCCCCCTTGACTCCTCGAAGGGAACATGTCAGCGCAGCCGCATTGGATGGAAACCCGCTGGTGTCCACTCACCACATCCAACAGTAACGCAGTCCCGATGATAACACAAAGGTGCCTGGAAGACCAGATTCGCGACATGCATATCATCGCTGCCGTTATGGACTACACAAACTCTGAGGCCAACAGCACGCCCAGATTGCAAAGGTAAGAGACAACGAACCACTGTGAGTTGCTTCGGTTACTCGACCCAATTCTACTCTACAGGGCATCAACCTAGCGTCGCTCATCAAATTTTCAATGTTGCCCCTCATCCTGGTCGACCAGCACTGCCCGACCTGAGCAGGCTGTACGGCCGAGCCACTCAAAGAATCGAACCCCCCGATTGCCCCCTCCCCTTCGCCTCCCTTCGCCCGTCCCCCCCTCCGCTTCCTCGTTTCCCTCCCAGTCCAGCCCCCCCTCCCTCGTGCCTCCTCCACCTTGCCCCGCCGGCCCAAAAGGGGCGCCCAGGGACGTCCCTCCGAAATGGTCGCCCAGGGCGACCACCACCATCCTTTCTTTACCTTCCCTTCCTCCCCGAATGATGGAGAGCGATATTGGTGATGACGGCGACACTGCTGATGATGACGATGATGATGATGGTGTTGATGATCACGATGACGACGACGATGACGATGATTGCGATGATTGATGAGGAAGAGGAGGAGTCTCCAGGAGGAGGATGTTGATAATGATGACGATCATGATGATACGGCTGATGATGTTGGTGCTGCTGATGATGATGATGCTGGTGATGATGATGGCGATGATGACGACGACGACGCTGTTGATGATGGCGATGATGACAATGCTGCCCCCTGGGAGCGGCAAATCGCACAGCGCATTGCACAGCGATGGAAAGAATCTCATCTCAGGGCAGCCCAGCCGCGGGCCCACCTCTGCGTCTGGCACCGTCGTCAGCAGCAGCTCGGCCCGGCGCGCAGCGAGGGCAGCGGACACCATGGCCGTGACCTGCCACGCGGAGTCCGCGCCGGGGCGGCCGAGCGGCTGGCCAGGGAGGACAGCGGTGCGCCGCACAGCGGTGGCGACGTCCGCCACGAAGCGTTGCGCAGCAGGGCCGCGCTGGCCCTCTGCCTCGACCGCAATGGCGATGATTGCGTCGCCGTGGCGTTCCTTTGGCGCCGCTCCGCGTCGAGGGCCGCATGGCCGGGGGCGCGCACAAGTAGCCCCGACTCGCCAGACAAGCGAACGGCGACGTCAACCCAAGCCCCGGCGGGGGCAGGCCAAACCACTTCACCACGAGGCTATCTGCGCCTCGTGATCCCGCCGCCAGACGCCTGGCACAGTTCTGGCACGCAACGCTCCATGTCTGCGAGCCCACCGTGGGCGGAGATTCTTTCCGCCAAAGCCCGCACCATCTCGTTATGCAACCGTGTGCGTGCGGTGCGGCCCACCAAGCAGTGGAGCGCGTGGAGCCTAGCGACGTCCAGGAGCCTGTCGCACGCGCTCTGTCGCTCTTGGCCGCCGCCGCCAGCATGGTCGGAGTACTCGGAGGCGCACGTATCCAGAGCCGCCAGCAAGTCCAGCAGGAGACGGCGCCAGTGCATGACCACGAAGGACGCATCGTGGAGCGCCAGCCCGCCCTGACGCACGAGTCCCTTCCAAAAGGCGCCAGCGCCAAGTCTGCCGCCAGGCAGCAGCCGCGCCGGGCCCAGAGGCCCAGGGGAGGGGGGGCCGCGAAGGCAGCGAGGTCGCGGCACGCCCGCGCGGCAGGACGGCGCTGGATAGTCGAGGTGCCCTCCTAGTCCCGGCTCGCCTCGGTCCGGAGCTCGGCCGCCCAGGGGGCCAACCTCGTCCTCCGCCGTGAAATCGAGACGCACCCCGGGCGCATCTGGATGTCTGCGGCGATCACCCTGTCGCGAGCCTGGGCAGCCAAGGGCGCGTCAGGGTTTGGAAGCGCGACCGGGCGGCCAAGGCGGGCGGCGACGGCAAAGACATCGGCCTCGACCGAAGTGTGGCATGCCCGAAACGCCACTCGCGCGTGCCGCAGAGCAGCCGGCCGAGTGCCCAGACTGCCGACGAAGGTGTGCACGCCGGCGACGGCGGCGTGAGCTGGGCCGAGAGGCTGCGCAGCAAGGGCCTCCATGGCCCCGTGCACCGCCGCAGAAGCACGCCGCAAGGCTAGTGCTACTGCACGTGGAGGCACACACACACATGTGATGATCACGTGATCATCATGCGTGTGCTGATCATGCAATGATCAAGCGTGATGGGAACAGTGGTGTATGTTCATGCTGACAATGATGGTGATGATGATGATGACGATGATGCTGACAATAATGAATGTGACGACGATGAGTGAGAGAATGATGGTGGTTGTGAAGATGACGATGGCTATGGTGGTGGTAATGGTGATAGTGGAGATGATCATGGTGGTGAATATGACGACGACGACGACGACGACGACGACGACCAGAGCCTTCCCCAGAACCAGCTCATGATGGTGATGGTGATCGTGTGATGATGCTGCCGATGGTGCTGAAGATGGTATTGATGTTCCTGATGATGATGGCGGTGGTGGCGACAATGATAATACTACTGGTTATGATGACAGCGAAGATGACGCTGTAACGATTAGTACACTGATGATGACGATGATGCTGACAATGACGAGGAGGAGGAGGACAAGAGGAGGACGAGGAGGGGAAGAGGGGGAACAGGAGGAGTAGGAGCAGTACCTAAGAGGAGGGGGAGGAGGAGGAGGAGGAGGAGGAGGGAAAGGAGGAGGAGGAGGAGGAGGAGGAGGAGGAGGAAGAGGAGGAGGAGGAGGGGGGGAGGGGGGGGAGGAGGGGGAGGAGGAGGGGGAGGAGGAGGAGGCGGAGGAGGAGGAGGAGGCGGAGGAGGAGGGAGGAGGAGGAGGAGGCGGAGGAGGAGGGCGAGGAGGGGAAGGAAGGGCAGGGGAAGGGCGAGGATGAGGCAGGGGGAGGGGATGGGGAGGATGCCGCCTGTCGCCAGGGCGAGGACGGCCGCCCGCGACGTGACCTCGATCGCCCCCACGACCTGGTACGGGGAGCCGGGGCCAGCGCGGGAACACGCGCGCAGAGCGGCATCGGCCAAGGCCGAGGGGGGGTCGCCACCAAGAGGATTCGAGGTCGAGGTGCGAGGATCGAAGATCGAGGATCAAGGGTCGAGGACCAGGGGTCGAGCAGGAGTAGGAGGAGGAGGATCAAGGGTCGAGGACCAAGGGTCGAGGAGGAGGAGCAGGAGGAAGAGGAGGAGGACGCTGGAGGAGGAGGAAGAGGAGGAGAAGGAGAAGCGGGCGGAAGAGGAGAGGATCGAAGTGGACGATGGAGGCTCGAGGCTCGAGGACCAAGGGTCGGGCAAGGCAAGGGGGGGGGCAATCAACAAGGGGATCAGGGTCGAGGTTCGAGGAGGAGGACGATAGAGGACCATAGAGGACGATTGAGGAGGAGAGGAGGATCGAACAGGACGATGGAAGGTCAGGGGGCTGGCGAGAACACCCTGAGGGGCGTGGTTGCGCCTAAGTCCGACCAGCCGTAGGGGGCTGGTAGGGCTGGGAAAGTAAGTACTGAGAAAAGCCTTGCGAGTGAAGGCAAAACGGAGCTCCCTGAATAGCAAGGTGCCTAGAAGAGAGGCCCCCATCAAACGGAGGAGAAGGAGAAGAAGAAGTGTGAGGATGACAGAAGAGGACGATGGAGGACCATAGAGTACGATGGAGCACGATGGAGGACGATGAGGGACAATGGAGAAGGGGGAGGAGATGGAGGAGGGGGTGGAGGACGGGAGGCGGGAGAGGAGAAGGAGCGAGGACGAGGAGGACGATGGTGGACGATGAAGGACGAGCAAGGACGAGGGAGGACGATGGGGGAGGAGGAGGAGGAGGAGGAGGAGGAGGAGGAGGAGGAGCAGGAGCAGGAGGAAGAGGAGGAGGACGCTGGAGGAGGAGGAAGAGGAGGAGAAGGAGGAGCGGGCGGAAGAGGAGAGGATCGAAATGGACGATGGAGGCTCGAGGCTCGAGGACCAAGGGTCGGGCAAGGCAAGGGGGGGGGCAATCAACAAGGGGATCAGGGTCGAGGTTCGAGGAGGAGGACGATAGAGGACCATAGAGGACGATTGAGGAGGAGAGGAGGATCGAACAGGACGATGGAGGGTCAGGGGGCTGGCGAGAACACCCTGAGGGGCGTGGTTGCGCCTAAGTCCGACCAGCCGTAGGGGGCTGGTAGGGCTGGGAAAGTAAGTACTGAGAAAAGCCTTGCGAGTGAAGGCAAAACGGAGCTCCCTGAATAGCAAGGTGCCTAGAAGAGAGGCCCCCATCAAACGGAGGAGAAGGAGAAGAAGAAGTGTGAGGATGACAGAAGAGGACGATGGAGGACCATAGAGTACGATGGAGCACGATGGAGGACGATGAGGGACAATGGAGAAGGGGGAGGAGATGGAGGAGGGGGTGGAGGACGGGAGGCGGGAGAGGAGAAGGAGCGAGGACGAGGAGGACGATGGTGGACGATGAAGGACGAGCAAGGACGAGGGAGGACGATGGGGGAGGAGGAGGAGGAGGAGGAGGAGGATGAGGAGGAGGAGGAGGAGGAGGAGGAGGAGGGAGGCACAGCAGCTTAGCGAGCCGCATCGGCTTACGCAGTTCGGGATGGTAAATACCAACGAGGTAGCTGCATCCAGGAGAAAACCCGGCCAGGAAACAGCTTCGTGGACGTACTATTCAACTTCACGTTCACGCGTCCGCTCGACATGGCAGACGAACTACTAACGACAGAACAGCTATGCTTCAATACCCCCGACCCGAATGAAAACGTGCCTAGACTTGCAGCTCATCGAGTACCTCAAGTGGTCGCAGGTGTCTCCTTCGTGGACGATGCATTATTCCTGGCAGAAGCGAGGTGTGATGAGCTCAAGAGGGCAATGGCTACAGCAATGGATGTAGCACATACGGCCATGAGTGTATATGGGCTTGAGATCAACGACAAGCGAACCAAGACTGCCCTGGTACCAACGATACACGGAGCAGGACCCAAGCGAATAAATCAGCAGCTGTTTGCGACGAAACCACCAACGATAACAACGCGCAAGTACCAGAAGGTAGTGCACGTCGAGACCGCGTACAAGCACCTGGGCACGATCATCGGTTGCGAAGGACTGGCAACTACCCAGATCGCCAGGAACATCCGCAAGCACAAAGATGCCATGGCACCAATCAGACAGAGCATCAACAAGCTGTACCAGCTCAGTCCAAGGCCAAAATCAAGATCGCGGACAAACACGCCAAAGTACACTTGGTATACCATGCTGAGACCTGGCCAACACTCAGTGGGAAGCAAATCAATATGATCGAGGCCACACACCAGAAGACATTCCGTTCAGCACTACGGCTACATCTACCAGGTGACGATGGGCATCAGCGAACCACATATTGGGTAATGTACCAGGCGAAACGACCACCTCTGCTGGCAGCACTACGGCTGCGACGGTTACGGTGCATCACGGCAGCCCTGGAAGCGGGTCACACAGTGCTACTCGAGATGCTGGACAACACCTGGACCACCACAAAGGCAAAGCATGGATGGGCAGCACAGCTACCTGCAGATCTCGCGTGGGTCAGCCGCCATATGACACAAAGCAATGAGGGCACCTTGCGTCAGCTTACTACAAAAGAACGGATATATAAAATGATCTGGGCCCACCGGCGTTCCAACGGCTACTCAAGCAACCATGGGATCGATACAGAGCACACCAGCGTGGCCAACATCATCTTGCAAACTGGCGTCAGTCATTACATGCAGTTCTTGACGGGCCCCAAACTGAGATCTTTCCACAAGAACCAGCAAGATCACAGGCTTACTGCTAGTATTGTGGGAGATCATATCACAACGTGCCAATACTGAAGGCTCATGCAAGAAGGGATCACGACCCCATCAACGAGGCACAGCGGCAAGCAACAGGCACATATTACCATTGCTGCAAGACCGAGTTCCACACGAGGCCAAGGATGGTAACACGCTTACGATGCCTGGAGTCGCTTCAGGAGACGCATGCGGGCCTAACTGACCAGGAGGCGCGCGACCTCATGGAGCTCGACAAGTCCCACATCGCAGAGCTCAAGAGGCAAGGCTACCGTGCGACCAGAGCGGTAGGACCAGCTCGCCACGATGCGCCACGACGAAAGCCGTGCCCAGAGAATCGACGATTCTGTGAGCAGTGGACGGCAGCGAGGCAAGAGAGCAGCGCTGAGCGACAACCAGCACCAGTACCAGCCGAGGCTTCGCTTACCAACCGTCCCATCGGAAGCTATCGGCTGGACCACCCAGACGAAGACGACGCTGGAGATGATGCCAAACCAATGCGGTCAGCACCGGTACACCTGCCCACGTGCAGGTACATACTTCACTGATTATCGGGACGCAGGCGACACGGTGATTTCCAACAATGGATCGAGTCGGAGGCGGAATTCCAATGCATAGCTCTATCAGCGGATGTAGTCAGTTCAGCAGCTATTGGAGATCTCACGATAGAGATGTTCGCAACAATGGTTAAGCAAGGGCATATACTAGGGGTACTGGCAGGCCCTCCATGTGAAACATGGCGTGGTGCCAGATGCCTCGACCTGGATGGAAGTACAAAGGATCGTCGCCCGTACGTTGAGTAGAATTTCCATGGTGATTACCAGGTACGGAAATGAGGTGTCGGCAGCAGGTGGGCTTGGGAAGTTTATTGGTGATTGGGCTTGTACCTGGCGGCAGTTTGTGCAATATCATATGTACCGATGCTGATGGAGCATCCTGCACGAAATCGGCGTGCAAAGGCGGCGTCGTGCTGGTCACTGCCAGAGACACGACAGCTTATGAGGAGAAGCAACGTGACTCCAGTTACATTTGATCACTGCGTATTTCGGCAGTCTTCCAAGAAGCCGCCTACGATCCTCCAGATTGTGCAGCATTCAAAACAAGTATGGACCAACGAGCAGATCATGGGCATTGCCAGCACAACAGTGGACATGAGATCGCCGCAGGACGACGTACAGATAGCACATAAAGAACGGCAAAGCTCAAAGAGTATCCAACCAAGTTATCACGACAGCTGGCCAGTGCGATCAGAAGCTCATGGACTACCAGGCCACATGGAGGAGGCACATCATATGAAGGCATGAACCCAGCACTTGCCCAATTGTATGTGCCTCTTGAAGTTCTTGATCCTGACGAAAATGAAGCCCATGAACTTCAAGCACACGGGCATGATTGCTGGAGATAGTATATGGAGAGTCGAAGTCAGTGATTGGACAGTCCAGACTCAACGTCGACGACCTGGCGTCGACGAAGATCGAGGGCAAGAGCGGCGCCTGACCGCGGCAAGGCTGCTGTCGCCCTGGGTGGGAGCGGCGGGGGCCCCCCGGCCCCAGTGCCCACCCGGGGCGCCTGGCGGCCCGCCCGAGGGCGCGGCGGGGGCCCCCAAGCCTCCATGCCCTCGGGCGGGCCGTCGTGTCGTCCTCCTCCTCCTCCTCCTCCTCCTCCTCCTCCTCCTCCTCCTCCTCCTCCTCCTCCTCCTCCACCTCCCTCGCCCTCAGGCCTCGGGATCGAGGGTGGCTGATGGAGGTCCCCATCGCTTCGTCCCTCGTGCGCGGGCGCCGACGGCCGCGGCCGCGGTCGCGCGAGCGCGGTGGGCGCCGAGCCGACGCGCGTCGCGCAGCGGTGGTGCCAGGAGGATGGAGGAGGATGGACGAGGATGGCGGAGAACAGTGGAGGAGGAGGAGGAGGAGGAGGAGGAGGAGGAGGAGGATGGAGGAGGAGGAGAGGATGGAGCAGAACCGTGGGAGGAGGAGGAGGAGGAGGAGGAGGAGGAGGAGGAGGAGGAGGAGGACGGGGGGGTCCCAGGGGGTGTCACGCCCTGGCCCTGGCCTCAGGCCCCAGGCCAGGAATGGCCCCGTTGCCGGCCCCAGCTCCGCACGGGGAGGGTTCAGGGGGGGCCCGGGGGTGTTCCCCCTGCGGTTTTCGCTTCCAAGACGCCCGCCCCCGAGGAGATAGACGGCTCCTCCTCCTCCTCCTCCTCCTCCTCCTCCTCCTCCGCCTCCTCCTCCTCCTCCTCCTCCTCCTCCTCCTTCTCCCTCCTCCTCCTCCTCCTCCTCCTCCTCCTCCTCCTCCTGCTCCTCCTCCTCCTTCTCCTCCTCATCCTCCTTATCCTCCCTCCACCGCCCAGCAGATGTCCTAAGCATGTGGCAGGGTCATCACCTCGTCGTTGTCGCTGTCGTCGTGGTCGTCGTTGTGGCCGTCGTCGTCTCCCTTCTGGGTCGGCGGCACCGCCACAAGGCCTTCACAATCACGACGGAAGATGTTTGGTAATCTTCGGCATCTGGCTGGGCCCAGGGACTGTCAAATCTCCAGGTAAAAAGAATGGTCACCCTGTGAAAAAAAACACGTCGGATGTCTGGGTTGGGCGCTGTCGGGTATCGTTGCGTGGCATCCGACCGCGACCCCAAACCTCCGGGTTGGTTTTGCAGGTCGCCGCGGTGATAGCGGCGGCCACAAATCGGGACAAGGTTCCCTACCTAGGCTCTGCCTAGAGGATTCTTACTCTCTTAGCTTAAAGGGGCCGGGCAGTGCAAAGCGCCCCGGGCGGCTCCCCCAGTCCCCGCCCCGCGGTTCCCCAAGTCGCGCCCCCTGGGAGCTTTAGCTTTAGCTTTAGCTTAGCTTTAGCTTAGCTTTAGCTTAGCTTTAGCTTAGCTTTAGCTTAGTTTTAGCTTAGGATTAGCTTAGCTTTAGCTGTAGCTTTAGCTTTAGCTTAGCTGTAGCTTAGCTGTAGCTTAGCGTTAGTTTAGTTTTAGCTTAGATTTAGCTTAGCGTTAACTTAGATTTAGCGTAGGTGTGCCTTCGATTAGCTTAGCTTCAGCTTAGCTGTTGTTTTGGTTTTGCTTAGCTGTAGTTTAGCTTCAGCTTAGCTTCAGCTTAGCTTCAGCTTAGCTTCAGCTTAGCTTTAGCTTAGCTGTAGCTTAGCTGTAGCCTAACCTCTGCTTATTGTTTGCGTAGCGTTTGCTTAGCTTTAGCTTAGCTTCAGCTTAGCTTTAGCGTAGCTGTAGCTTAGTGTTAGCTTAGCTTTAGCTTAGCTGTAGCTTAGCTGTAGCTTAGCTTTAGCTGAGCGCTAGCTTAGCTGTAGATTCTATGTAGCTTAGATTTAGTTTAGCGTTAGTTAGCTTTAGCTCATATGTAGCTTAAATGTAGCTTAGTGATAGCTTAGCTGTAGCTTAGCTGTAGCTTAGCTTCAGCTTAGCTTTAGCTTAGCTTTAGCTTAGCTTTAGCTTCGTTTCGGTTTAGCTTTAGTTTAGCTTTAGCTTAGCGTTATCTTAGCGTTAGCTTAGCTTTAGTTTAGCTTTAGCTTAGCGTTAGCTTAGCTTCAGCTTAGCGTTAGCTTAGCTTTAGCTTAGTTTTACTGTTACTACTAATGCTGCTCTCCGAGGGGGTCCAACTCCTAGGTAGGGTCGCACTGGGATAATTTGTCAAGGAATGGAATGCCGAATGCCTGCTCTCAGCCCCCGCCCCCCCCCCCGCTCTGCGATGCAGACGCGGCTCGGAATCAGCCATACAACGACAGAGAGCTGTCAAGTGTACACCATCATGGGCAGCCCTGCTTTATTGTTAGGGGTCGATTGTCAGGCACATCCTCCTGGGTTCCGCGCCCGACGTCGTGGGTTCCCGTGGCGTGAGCCCTAGAGCTCGGCCAAGCAGGAGGAAGGAGGGGAGGAGGAGGAGGCGGAGGGGGAGGAGGAGGAGGAGGAGAGGAGGGAGGAGGGAGGATGAGGAGGAGGAGGAGGAGGAGGATGGCCGCATCGGATCGAATCGAATCGGGCATGCCGTAACCGGGGTCGAAGCGGACCCACCGGGTCGACGACGGGCCCCGCCCGAGAGGTGAGCGGCCCTACCCCGCGGAGCAGAGCCCGGGAAGGCAAGTCCAAGGATCGATCTCGCGACCCCTGACCAGAGCCGCTTGAATTCCTCCTCCAACTCCTCCTCCTCCTCCTCCTCCTCGTCCTCCTCGTCTCACCCTCCTCCACCTCCTCCACCTCCTCCTCCTCTCCTCCTCCTCCTCCTCCTCCTCCTCCTCCTCCTCCTCCTCCCTGGATGGTGGAGAAGACCCGACTGGAATGCGTCCCCCGTTTGCGATCCCTGCGGGGAGAAACCAAGCCATGAACAGACGTCACTTGGGGTCTTGTCATACCTACCTCTCGCTCTCTCCCTCCTGCTACCTGTCTTCTCCGTTCCCTCCCTCTCGCCCTCTCCCCCTCGCTTTTGTTCTCTCTCTCTCTCTCTCTTTATCCCTACCTCAACCCTCCCCACGCCGTTCTTCGCTGTCTAGAGTCTCTACTTCTTCCCTTGAGATATGCAGGAGCAGGAGGGGAGAATGGGGGAGAAGGACGGGAGCAGAAGAAACAAGAAGCGCAGCAGGATGATGGGCGGCCGTGGGAGAAGCCCTCCGTGCCTGCGACGCATGTGGGCGCCAGTGCGACTACGGCATGCGCGTCTTCACCTGCTTGCGTACACCCTGCGAAATGGTTAAGAAATCATGGGTTAAGAAATTCATAGTCTCAGAACTTGAATAAAAAACCCAACATTTCTATTAAAATCTTGGGATTTACGTTGAAACATTAAGAATAATCGAGACCCTGGCCGAAAACGTATGTTTTCTTAAGCATCGCCTAAGGTGTACTTCTGCACGCCCCTGCTCACTCGTGCACACGTAGGAAGACAGACCGCGCAGACGTCTCGGATCGACGCTGGACCCCACTCGGCGCGAAAGGCGCCGCCAGTGGTGAAAGTATCACCCCTACCCTTGTCCAGGGTTGCTTGTCGCCCACCGCGAGTAAGATTACTTTACACTACGAGGGCAGAGCCGCTCCATTAAGATTGCGGCCGCAATCTGGTAATGCGAGATCGCTTCGTCCAAGAGACAATGATTGGCGACGCGTTGCAAACAACTGACAGACACATTGGGCCAAAGGACTCGTCCGCCGAACTTTGGAACAGTTACCGCACAAGCGAAGAACAAGTACCATGAGCGATCAGGCTAATCCAACGGGAGGAGATCAGCCCGCGCAGCAACCATCCAGGGGAAAGCCACCGAGATGGGGACCTCCCAAATGGTCTGAACTCCTGCCCAAAAGGGGTGCGCCGGCGTCTGAGCCAAGGGCGCACGCGCGCCTCCAGACAAACCGTGCGCAACCTGCGAGATTTTTCCCCCGGACAGGAGTCGGGAGAAGTCTTTCGTTGCGGGCAGCTGGCGCCAGGGCTCCAGCGCCGATCCGAGGAATCCGCGCGGACCTCCTCTATGCTTATGTCATCGTTAAATGCCCTAGAACACTCCCCATCATGTCTCCTGTACAGCACACCACACCTGCGGGGAGCTCAGAATTTGCCATCCCCCATCCATCGACCGGGTAACCATCCATGAAGTTCTTGTAGAAGACCATCTCGTTGCCACGTCCCTGCGAAATGAGGGTGAGGGAGTGGCAAGACACAGTGAGGGTCTTGACCTAAGGAACCCTAAATAAGGAACGAGGCCCCTTTTTTCCATAAGTTAACCTTCGATTTCCTGTCGAAAACATAAGGAAAGCCTGAGGCAAGCTGTGAAACACTTAAGGAACGCGGAGCCCCTCCCCAACCAAAAGGGTTCCTTCTTCAGGGCCCCGACTGTAAGCAGTGAACCGCGGGAAGGGAAGCGAGGAGCGCGGACTCCGCAGGAGCACAGCAGGCACGTGCGGAGAAAAGAGGACCGGGGCAAGACGGAGGGCCGTGCGAGAAAGACGGAGGGAGGAGCGAGCAGCGGGCAGGATCGGGAGCGGCCAAGAGGGGGGTGTCCAAGAGGGGGGGTGCAAATCATGACTGGCGGCATGTGCGCGGCCTAGCGGGGGGGCCAGGGACGTAATGAAATAAGAAGAGGCGCCATGAGATCTGGGGAAATATCATGGCCCACGCCATGATATCCACCCCCCCCTAGTCATCACCCCCCTCTTTTCCGCCCCCGACAGGAGAGAGGGACGGCGATGCAGCCAGCACAGGCTTGGCCGCGGAGCCACGGCAGCAGCGCAGGAGAAGGTGGCGGCCACGCGAAGCTTCCTCCCAGCCAGAAACACACACACACACACATCCCCAGACATGCGATGTCCTGATGTTTCAATCGACTGCTTCATGCGGGGCCAGCTCCCTGTGCCGAGCCGCTGCTCGACGGCCCTGGGGGCCTGCTGCGAGGGGCCCTGGAGGTCGAAAACGGCAAGAGACTCCACAGCGTTTTCTTCTTGTCGGGACGCGAGCAACTCTGGGTTTCAAACGCCTGCACCCAAGCCCCTCCAGGACATCAACACGCTGGCCAAGGCACCGCCTTCTGGGGGAGCTCCTTGCGCTGATCACCCGGCGGCCCACTCGGGGGGCCGCCTCTTGGGCCATCCCCAGGGTCTGCTGGGGCAGATCTCGGGGCGCACGAGGCCCCCATACGGTCAGTCCTATCTGGCGGTCGTCCTACCTCCCCGCTTCCCTCAACTACCCAGCGCGAACACCTCGCGCCAGGCTGTCACAAAGGTTGCTAAAAGGGTACGCGTCCCCTTCCAAAAGGGGTGAGTCCGCGTCCGAAGGATCTTGACAAGCCCACCGATACCGATATGAGGTTGACGGGAATGTCCGCATGTATCTGTTGGGCCATTGAAACTTCCACGCCACCTCGCCCCACTAACCTCCACCCTCCCGCCGCTATCTCACCCCACCCCATCCACCCTCCCGTCCCACCTCCGGGTCTGGCACCTCGCGGGTCCAAAATCGATTGAAAAATACAATCGGCTAGAGGGCACAAGGCCAGAAGTTCGACGGCAACTCCCTGGAATTCTACCAGCAATCCGCGAGGCATGGCAGCGTCAGGAAGCGCGGCTTAGAGCCTCACTTTCTCGCGTACCAAAATACAAGGCGACGTGAGCTCCCTCAATGAACTCCCCCGAGCGCGCTCAAAACACGATTGGTCCTGGCAAGGGCCGAGTATCGCGCCAAAGAGCACAGTCCGAGCAGCGCCGTGATCATCGTGAAGAGACCTGAGAACGCCTCTGGTGATCTTCACACCCTCCCAAAGTCGGAACGAACTGATACGGCGGGTTCCTGAAACCGTGAACCGAAAAAGCCTGGAGGAGGAGAAGGAGGAGGAGGCGGAGGAGGAGGAGGCGGAGGAGGAAGAGGAGGAGGAGGGAGGGACGGAGGGAGGGAGGGAGGGAGGGAGGCCGATGCCTGCTTCCGCTGGCTTCCGCCTGCCTTCTTCCGCCGGCGGAGCCGTGCCCACTCGGCTTCCGCCGGCTCCTTCCGCCGCCTTCCACCGAGCAAGAGACGACAGCTCTGAAGGGGCCCCAGGACACACACACATAAATACACACAAATAAAAATATTCCCCATATTTTTCCATATCTTCTGGGTTTCTGTCTTCCCCCCCACTTCCCATATTTTCCCATGTTTTCTGGGAAATCGAAAATGAATTGTGTCTGTGTGTTTCTTTTCCTCCTGAAACTCCTCAGATCCGCGAAGGCGAGGCCCTTTCCGGCACGCCTCACATGTCCGCCGCCTGGGGAGTCGCTAATCCAGGACCCCTGGAGGCAGTCCCCCCGCCCTGGGGCCCGAGGCCAGCCCTAGCCTCCGCCGCGTGGGGCCATGAGACATCGGCTTCCTGGGCGGCAGGCCTGAGCTGGATCGAATTGCGAGATCAAGTCGAGTCTCGGGCGTTAGTCACACGCCGGTCGGAGAATAGCAGTAAAAACATGAAGCAACAGGGAGGCAGGTAAAGTAGATTGGGCTCAGACCCTCCCAAAAGAAGGACAACGCGCAGCAAGAGCAGATCGATCCTTGACGTAGGAGGGCGCTTGAAATGGATGGGGATCTGGGAATCCACAAAACACCCTATCACTTTCAACGACCGGCCTGTAGGGGGGGAGCGATCCCATGGGAGAATCCCTTCGAGGGAATACAACGTGCACCTTTCTTCACCCCCTCATTTAGTTAGCGTTCTGCGGCAACCCATTGGAGCTTCCTATACCACCTTGTCTGCTCTTGCAAATCGACGCTCGTCGACGCCACATCGACGCTACATCGACGCGAATCGACGCTAGCCGACGATGAATCGGCGCTATCTCATCGACACCCAGACGCTGATCGACGCTTATTGACACTGAAGACGGAAGTAAGAGGGTACACAAAGCTCACATGATTAACTAGAGGGACCCTAGCACACACACACACACACACACACAAATCAGTAGACACAAATCCCAGGATTCCCCGATTCTGCCATGGTTTCTGGGTCTTCGTCTTCCCCCCCACTTCCCAATAGTTTCCCCTACCTCCCTGGGGATCTACGATCCCTTGTGTCTGTGCTCCTTCCACTCCCGACTGATTTCTGCTACCGAAACTCAGCGCACCCCCTATCACTCCCGACGCCCGAGGGTCGGAGAAGCGTCCGGATCGCCGGCGAAACTTCCCGCGCATCGAGCCGAAAGCGGATCGACGCGCCCGGCTCCAGCCTGAAGTCGGGCCTGTCCCTCTACAGGAGGGATATGCAAAAATAATCCAAACAGTTATGTATGGGGACGATTTGGTTTACAATGCTTGACTGTTTTTGAGCATTTTCGGGATGTCTTGCATTTGTCATCCACAATCCGCCTGTAGGGGGACGGGCCCGACCTAACTCCAGCCGGCCCTGCCGATGCTCGTGACTGGGACCGCATCGTACCGAGTGTGCATCGCGGGCCCCATCGACTCGCACCGCATCGGATCGCAGGCGGCCCTGGGCACTGGCGACCGAGCGAGCGGCTGCATTCCGCCCACGAGGGCGGAGCCTTTGGGCCTACGTATGGCCTGGCGCAGCCGGCAAAATGTGACATTCGGAAGGCGCACTGAGCCAAAATGAACACAAATTTGGGTCTCACGGGGAACAAAAAGAACCGATACCGCTCCCCCCCAGACCACTCCCGGGGGGGCGTTCTGACCAGAATTTCGAGGCGAACGCAGCTGTGGCGACGAGGGCCTCCCAGAAGGCCAACAGAAAGGCGAAAGCGAGGCAAGGGTCGCGGCAACGGTGTTATGAAATCTGGCGAGCCAATCAAGTACAGAGCAGAGGAGGAGGAGGAGGAGGAGGAG